AAGTATATATTTATTAGTTATTCGACATGACAATTTGTTTGTAACAATTTCGAATTACAATTCCATGGACGAATTTGAGTCAGTAAATCGGCTGGAATTACCACCACCACCGCGCTCGTTCTGGGACTTTATTGACATTCTAGCACCCGTACTGAAATATTATGTGGCTTTACTAGCACTATTCTTAGGCGCGCGCTGGTTCAATCGACAGGTAGACAACGAAGCGTTGGCACAGGAGCAGGAGAAGCAACAGGAGCGACCTAAACTAACACCGGAATTAACCGTTGTGAGCTCAGAAGAGGAAGATGAGGAAGAAATGGAGGAACTTGTTACTAGTGGTGATCGTCTCATACCACTAGATGACAAGAATAAAAGGAAGAAAAAACCAAACGTAACTAAGGAATTGTTTGATGGTCTTCGCAAGGTGGAGCAAGAGTTGCGCGATAATAAAAACAAGGAGCACGATAATAACGTGAGCTGGAACGAATTGCATCAAAGTATGCTTAAACGCTATAAAGACAAATATCCGAATCACGGTCTGCGCGTGGCGAACCCCGAGACAGATCGCTACGATGAGGAATTCAATGAGTTGTTGCGGAAGAACAACATCAATCCAAATGACCTAAAGAGTCAGAGCGGTCAAAAGACTGAATGAATACAAGATGCAAGGATTCTCGACATAAAATGTTTAGTTTTGACTTGTTTGAAATGCCTTATGCTTGTTCGTTCAGATTCGCTTAGCTCATCACCTCACTAATCCAACTCAAGCAGGAAGAAGCTGCGTGTGTTGCCTGTTTAGTGTTTCAATTCTAGCGCAGTCCTCGTCTTACTCCGAGATCTCGTTTGAGAATTCTTTTTCTTTAGTAATCGAAAGATTGCGAATTCCTTAAACATTTTGAAGACTTGCGCTATCATTTACATTCTAGTTGCTCTGATTGTCAAGCGAAACTCAAATGTACACATGCATAATAGACACACTCATAAGCTTTCGAATTCGATGTCGAATTGGTGGTACAGTGATTGCCACGGTCCATCGAGGTTCTAGTATCGTGATTTGCCATGCATATATATATACCCACAGAGAACGACTTCCTTCTCAGAAAGCGTTTACGACATGGCGAAACGTGTTCCAACAGCTTGGCGGTTTACTCAAGCGGCTCAAACTTTGCAAGTGTCAGCTCCGCAGACTGGAACGTCTGGATCTTTAAACCTTTAATATATATCAACGATTGTAGCGAAAGTAGGTACATATGGGTTAAGCGAAGTCATTGACCTAACCTACGTATCCTCGTAATTGAGCTCGATCTCGAAGAAGCGTTTCCTAAAAAGCAGTAATCTATTTAACACTTCTCAGCTGTTCAATTGACGGCCTCACACAAAAGCTGCATACGATGTTGTCGTATTGACGACTTGCGGCTCGGCATAGCGGTGTTTTCACATCATGCTCTGGCTAGCCGACACAGGTGAATATTAATATCAAACGCAGTGTAGGGTGATGCTTACGACTGTGGCCTTTACATGGTCTTAACACGAAATCTAGCGTTTTCTTGACCATAGCTAATGGCCAAGATATTAATGTGTGTACATCTTGTTTTGACCATCCGTTGACTCTTTCACATCAATGTTCAACACAGGAAATTGAATGGGGAATTCACGATATAAGTCGGATTCTTGAAACAAGCCTTTCCCATAATCTACTCTACACTTCTTACTGATGCTTTTATCAAGAGGTAAGGTGGAAAGCCGTGTCAGCAAATCACATTAAGCTTATTGTACGACGTGATTGGTATTGACTGGCTGCCGTAGGGTATATTTCATTGTCATTTCGCTTGGAAAGTCTATTTCGAAGTAAAAGCGTGAGTAAATCTTATAACGTATGGTAGTGTGTATGCGCTTGGTATTTTCATCACATCGCATGCTTTCATGTTGTCGCGACGTTGGTCACACATAATATCCTTAAAATTCTATTGTCTCGTGAAAACAAAGAGAGATCTGTCCTTACCATATGGCCTGATATATATTCGATAAAAGTTCAATAAAAAAACCCTGTACATTTTGTGTCACGCCCATACTGTCGTTCTAGTAGACTTAATTTCGTACCACAACACAACATTTCTGGAGCCTCTAGTAATGATACGGTGATTCTCGTGACAAGAAATTACATTCTGTACGGATGAAAAAATCGCAACCTGACAAAAGATTTTGTGGCGGACAAATAAGTGTCTGTTCCATCTGATACCCAATACCTCCTAATGACGAAGATGAGCATGTTACCGCGAGATCGCGACGAGATGCAATTGACGTCAAGCATTTCTCTTTGTGACGACAGAGTAATTAAAGGTAATTTTATTGAGTATTGACGTAACGCTTCAAATTTTGTCACCATCTTAATTCAGCGCAAGATAAGAAATTCCTAATTTTTTAGTGAAAGCACTCATTTTATGCTTTGCAATCCTTAAAAACCGAGTTGTCGTTTGACAGTATCTTAAATTTAGACCTCAATGATACCGTTAGCACCTTAATCAGCAAAGAAAACCCATGTGTGGCATATTGACCGACTCTCGTTGCGCTATTGTTTCGCAGTAAAGCGGAGAATATATTGTGTAAGTTGTTAAATTCTTGAACGCACGACTGGGTACTTGCACATAAAACTTCTTATAATCTTTGAATCTTGCGTTGGAAAAGGTGCATCTAAAATGGATAAATTTCGAAAAAGTTTAAGGATGACATGACAGGTGTGTTCGAGTTGAAGCAGAGAAGTATATTGAGAACTAAGAACATCAGTATGCAACGTTTAACAGCAAAATGGTGGATACTAAGTAATAAAATTAAGCGCTAAACATACCACTTGATAATTTTTTTTGTGTGCCTCAGCTTTGCAGTTCAAAGCCTATCTCTTGTCGGTCCGACCGTCTCGTGTTATAAGTTGTACAATCGTAAACTCGATCTCGTTGAAATTATAATCGCCGCCTATCACTACAAAATCCGTACACCTTTCTGGCTATTTCGCTTTGGCGACAGCTCGACTGGCCATTCCAATATTTCCATCGGTGTGCTCGCCATCAACGAGCTACACATTTGTAAAGAAATGGTGTCTACGACGTACCTTTCCGCCATGGTTACGGCTGCAGCTATCATCGTTGACTACGTGCAATCTCACGGCTTTATTGCTAATCCCAAACCTTCATGGAAAAAGGGAAAGACTGAGAATCAAGAGTGGATTGTAGAAATTGAGCCCCAGTGGAAAGGTGATTGGGACAAAGTTAATGGTGATAAAGGTCTTCTGGCCCTTTTTAAAGAATTGGGAACGAAAAACAACTTTAAAGATCTCCGATCGCTGTTTGAGGGCAATCCAATATACGGTGAAGAATGCGGTTACACAGACCCCAAAGGCCCCCCTGCTGATCGACCAAATGATGGCGCTGCTACCTTTTCACGTGGGATTTTACACGCTGGTACATGCGAAATATGGTTTGATGATAAAATGGTCCTTCAGAACGACGATTGCCAATCCGCGTACGGTGATGGTACGAAAAAGACAATTTCTGTTCTGAAGCCTGTTGATTACGGATTATGTGCTCCCGAAGGCTGCATGCTTCGATTTTACTGGCTTGCCTTACAGCGTATTGACAAGACAGTTTGGCAAGTCTACAGAAACTGTATTCCCTTGAAAGGTTCTGGTGGTGGCGGCGGTAAGGATTCCGATCCTACTCAGGAATCACCCGTTCAAGAGGACGTATCGTCGAAAAGCAAGAGTGATTCGGACTCTTCCAAGAAGTCTGATTCGGACTCTTCCAAGAAGTCTGATTCGGACTCTTCCAAAGAAACCGATTCGGACACCAAGTCCGACGAAGACGTTACGCAGGTCACTCCTACTACCGATGACTCGAAATCTCCGTCGCCGACACCTGATTCGAACACTTCGTCAGATAAAACGCCTGAGATCACCCCAGCCCCGACCCCGGCCCCAAGCAGCAAATGCAAAGGGCAACGCCGTCGCAATTAATGTCTCGTGGCAGGAGAAATCTTGCCTAATCACATAACCACATGCGTGCATAAATGTTTGCTCTAGTCTTCCTACTTGAAAGGTCAAGAGTCTGGGTGTCGTTATATTGAGAGCAAGATATATCATTTTCTGTTTGTGTAATAATCTAAAGAAAATATGTCTTCAGTTTAATTTTTAATGATAAGACTGAATA